GCAGTTCAGAGTGCGTTCCTGAAAAAGAAATCTATGATTCTTGAAGAGGCAGCACTGCTGATCGAATAATGAGAGGATAAGTTATGAAGCCTAGGAATATCGGATAAAAAGGAAGTTCAAATGCCATGCATCAATTCAATAAAGTCCAAAACAATACCACAATTGATCGAAAATCTTAATTCGAAAAATATTTCAGGTTTCAAATAGGAAGCTATTTGAGGATTCCTTCTATCTGATCTCAGGTATCACTGATTGTTAACTATCTTAATTATCTTTACATCAGATCAAAGGTGAACAATGACGTCGAGAATTGTGCGATATGTGAAACTATTGTAACGTCCATAAAAATCTTCCAGAAAATGAAACGTTTTGGTAACAATTTCAGATATTTTTCCATGTCATGGCAGAAGATGTCTAAAGATGCACGTACCACTCTCCACAACACGACCATCACGCACAACGCAGATACAGTCTGCATTCTGAATTGTCGACAGACGATGTGCGATTGTAATACAAGTTCGGCCCGATGCAGCAGCGTCCAAAGCTTTTTGAACTACCTGAAATCAACGAGTTCTATGAAAACTCATCAACTAAACAGTAGGTACAGCAAGTAATAGTTATCGAGTTCTAAAGCGATTCCATAAGAATGGCTTGGCAGTCCAGTGCTGTGACTAATCCAGGGCAATCCTGTTGGCTAATAATTGTGTATCTACTATATGAATATCCATCCACAGATCTCATATAACAAACAAAACGATTTGTTAGACTTCATGAGGCATTGTTCGTGTAACGTTTCGGATGCCACGATGATATATGACCAACATAAGGTCAAGTTTTGAATCAATCACCTTCTCGCTTTCGGAATCCAGTGCGCTTGTTGCCTCATCGAGAAGCAATACGATTGGTTGTCGAACTATCGCACGTGCGATTGCGATACGTTGTTTTTGACCACCTGACAACTGTATACCACGTTCACCTACACGCGTTTCATAACCCTATAAAATCGTTTATGCTAACACCAATAACTGTTCATGAATTCCAGATCAACGCATTGCTTTACGTTTCATGCACAGGTGTTATTTTAGTTGGATTTTGAAAGTTTCATAATATAATAATATAATACTTGAGTATAAAAATGCAGTCAAGAAAAGGATTTGAGAATGTGAACCATTCAGAATAAATGAAAATCGTTGCTGATGCATTCAAAATTCGGCCAATACCTCAGGCATACTGACGATAGCATCGTGAATATTGGCAATTTTTGCTGCTTTTTTTATGTCCTCAAAAGTGCACGAGTCGTAACCATACGATATATTGTCACGGATCGAGTAATTGAACAGTACGGGTTCTTGACCAACCATTGCCAGCTGTTTGCGGAGTGTTTGCAAATGCAATGAGCGTGCATCATGCTCATCGTATTGCTACAAACAAATATAATCAATTCGTTTGATTCGAATACAGCTCTGAGCTTGAATCTGGCCCTTTAATATGGTGCGCATAAGTTTTTTTCCTTGAAGAAATCTTCAGATCTACCACTTGGGCTACAGTTTCGACAACATGTTCGCTTGCCAATTTACCATGAATATGATGAGGCAANTGGGCTGGCTGTCTGAACATTATCGAACGCCGATCATGTTACGAAATTATACCGAACATGCCAAAAACATCCAAAAATTCAGTGTTTTGTAAATTTACAGCAGCGTACCACTTCACCGTCGGTCGGGTCGTAGAATCGATTCAGCAGCGATATTACGGTACTTTTACCGCATCCACTCGGACCAACGAATGCCAACGTTTTACCGGTGGAAATTTTCGCCGATATACCCTTAAAATTCAATTGGTTTGATCACTTTCATCTGAGGAAACCTATACGATACTCAGTTCGTCAGTCAATGATCAAACAATCCAATGCATAAGCCATCGTAGTGTGCCAGATACCTGAAGAACAACACGCTCGGGTCGTTCTGGATATGCGAAATATACATCTTTAACGCTCACATTACCGTGAAGATCCTGAAATCAGAACGCATCATATTTTGAGATCAAAATTTTGCTTTCTATTTTAACTCTCTTCGTGACGAACTCCGCTCAATGGTATTTTTCTAAACTCTGCTATAAAAATAAAATCAAAAAAAATTCCGGTG